AAATGTGCTTAATGATCTGAGAAATTAGTGGTACATTATATAATTAACAAAGCCTGGAGGGGAAATGACAGATTAAGCCTAGTCATTTTCTCACATCTTTTACAAGGCCGCAATCTTTTTATACATTTGGGCAAAAGTCGTGTTTTTTTTTTTTTTCCTTTAAATTAGTCATTGTAAAGGAAGAGAAATTGTCAATGAACGAGGAAAAAGTAACGGTCCAATGGCAACATATAAGAAATGTAACATATTGGTCGGGAAAAAGTGATACAAAGAGGCCTGGAATTCAACTCGTTCCAAAAGCCAATGCCAGAGAAAAAAAAAGGGCACAGAAAGGAAAACTCAGAAACAATAAATAGATTTTTCAAAGAAATATAAAATAAAAGAGAATTATGGTTTTTTATTAATTTTTTTTTTTTTTTTTTATAATAAATAAGCATTGCATTTGAAGGGCCAAAGGCAACCTAAACAAATTAACCACGAGCTCTTCAAATTCAGGCAAGGGATCCTATTCACAGAAACTAACAAACTTACGAGTCACGTGCAGGACCGAATAAATTTTTACCAGTTGTCTTTAACCTTTTTCTTTTTTTTTTCTTTTTTTTTTTTGTTGTTGCGTGAAACCAGTTGTCTTTAACTTAGATGTCAACTTTTAATAATTTCTTTGACGCAAGCATATCTTGCAAATTGCAATCTAACAACCGTCTAGTTTATTAAACAACCGTTATCGAACATTGATATTTGTGTCTTATGAAGTTGTGTTGCTATGTTGTAAGATTTGGAAAGAAAGTCCATAATTGGCAATGTCAGCTGCGGAGAAAAAATAAAAACTTCAGATAAATGGCTGGGTTAAAAAAGTGTTACGTACTTTTTGTTCCTTCGAATATTTTTAGTGAATTGGATAAGTTATCCATACGTTCTTTATCAGGGTTTTTAGCACATCTACCCCTGGACTTGTTGTAGTTAACAAATTATCCCTTAAATTTTTAATTTTAACAATCAACCCCCTAAACTTATTTAGCTGTTGCAATTAACCTCATTACTCAGCATGTGCGCCTATTTAACACAATCGAAGATGGATGCTGACGATCGTTTGCCTTCATCATGGGCGCTTCGAACTACTGATTATGAAGAAGCCGGGAGATGTTGCTGATTAAAGAGGAGAGAGAGAGAGAGATTTTTTTGTTTTTGTTTTTTGTTTTTTTTGTAGAAAATTGAACGGACGGTTGAGACTTAAATATTTTAAGATCCATGGTTGAGATTAGTTTAGGTTTTTTATTATTTTATTTAATAATTAGGACATACGTAAAATACCAATTTTACCCATTTAGAACCTCACATGTGACTGGCACATGTCAATTTCCGTCCATTTTTTAACCACCCTTATCCAAATTGGGTTAATTACAACAGTTAAGCAAGTTCAAGGTGTTGATTGTAAAAATTAAAAGTTTATGAAGCAATTTGTTAAACCACGACAAATTTAGGAGGCAAATGGACTAAATACACTTTTAGTCAAAGTAAATTTTCTCATGAATTTAATAAAATATTGCATATTATTTTCAAATGATGAATTGATGAAAGATATTAAAATTTAGAAGAACATACCCTTGCACACAAAACTTAATGCGCTTCTTCGTCATTTGAAATTATTGTTTATACCTTCAAGTGAAATAATATGACGCATATAAAGGTATTTCTACTCAAATTTTAGAAGTTGTTGTCGATTTGGTTCCATTGGCGGAGAGGTTGGTCTCATCGCACCTACAAAATAAAATGTTTTCTTCTTAGATGATATAGCGTTGTTTAATTTGTCAACTTCCTTAATTTCGATTGGTTTATTAGTTATAATTTGATCAATTTTTAGGGGACAAACTATCAATGAACAATGATATAGGATCCTTTGTACCTAATAAAATATTTAGGTAGCAAAGTGCCATTAAACTATAATTCAAGGTTGTTAGTGTCTAATAAATTTGTTGGGTACTAAAATGTCAGAAAAGAAAAATTCAGGGGGTGAATTCCAATTAGTGCATGGGGAGAGGACAAATATCTGAACACATCCGGGGCTGAGGGACCCTGATAGAGAGGAAGACCCAATTAATGGACGGTCTGATTTGGCTGCTCTGGCGAATGTCGGTGACGCGTCTTTGTACATCATTGACTTATTTCAATACAGTTATCGAGAATCAGCAGAAAATATATGTATACTTACATATTATACCGTTGTAGAAAATGATGCATATTTGATGTGGGATTTTTCTTAATTTTTTTTTTCCTTTCCCTTTCTGGAAAGAGCCCATCTTTCCATTGTTGGTGATAAAATCATAAAAATATTAGAAATATTTTTGAATATACTATTTCTCTCTATTAAAGATGTCTCGTTACGACGTTACCTTAGACAGTTTTCTTCCTTTTTTTTTTTTTTTTTTTTTTTTTTGAGGAGTCCAGGACGACTTACAAAGACAAGCTTCTGTTTTTTTTTTTTTTTGAGGAGTCCAGGACGACTTACAAAGACAAGCTTCTGTTTTTTTTTTTTTTTGAGGAGTCCAGGACAACTTAAAAAAACAAGCTTTTTTTTTTTTTTTTTTTTTTTTCTGCTGGCTAGTGGCAAGTTACCTTATTATACCAGTTAATTTTTATTTGGTATGGATCATGATTCCTGAGAGAGTGAATTGACCAAGAATTGATAATTATATATATGAAATAGGGACAAATTATAGTACTCATTATTATGGAGTTTTTTTTTCCTGAAATTTTAACCAATATTTATTTCTTTTTTTGAGGAGTCCAGGACAACTTACAAAGACAAGCTTCTGTTTTTTTTTTTTTTTTTTTTTTTTTTTTGAAACTTACAAAGACAAGTTACTTCTTCAAGCTATGTGCTTTCTGTCGGTGAAGAACACTCGAAGAAAAGTGAGAAAACAAACCTCGTACTCACAAAGAAGATAAATACGCCAATTACAAAGAACACGCGTTTTTGTCTGCTCAATAGTAAAATTATTCCAACAAAGGTTGATTTTGTTGCGGTAAAAAATAATAATAAGAGAAGACCCATAATTAGCTCTAAAAACTCAAGGCTTGCTGAATAATTTTGCATTTTATTCTCATCTCTTTTAAAAGTCCTATTGGGCGCATTTGGAACTCATTTTAAAATGATTTTATTTTTTGTATGAAAATGAAAATGAAAACGTTTTTAATGTCAGACAGATATCATTTTTAAAAATACGTTTGGTAGTTTTATCAAAAGATTATTTTTAGTGTAAAAAACTCATTAATGTCTCTCTTTCTCTCTCTTTGCTCCAGAGAGGAGTGTTAGGCCCCGTTCATTTCGCTTATTAAAGTTTAGAATTCGAGTTTTGCTACAGTAAAAAGCTCTCACAAACAATCACATCTAACTTTTTTACTACAGTAAAAAGCTCTCACATAAAATCACATCTCAACTCGAATTAAAAACTCAAATCAGCGAACTAAACGGGCCCTTAGTTTACCAGTACCTCCTAAGAGTTTAAGCTTTTAGGATGGATTGGTAAATTAACATGGTATCAGAGCGGGAGGTCCTGGGTTTAAATCCCCGTAATTGCATTCTTTATCCCCATTTAAAATTGTCATCATGTGTTGGGTTTTTAATATATATCGGGCTTAAATATTCATGTGTTGGGCTTTCCAATTAACTTACTCACATGATTGCCTATTGTTTAGCCCACACATGAGGGGGAGTGTTAAAGTATAAAACTATTGTTGACCAACTTCCTAAAAGCTTAAGCTTTTGGGATGAATTGGTAAACTAACAAGGAGAAAATGAAAACAAAAAATGAAAAATGATTAAAAGTCATTTTTTATTTCTCTCTCATTTTACACTAAATCAAAAAATTATTTTCATTTTCATTTTTTGCCTTTATTGCGCCAAACGCCATTTTGAAAATGTTTTCATTTTTTTCTCAAAAAACGTAAAAAATAAAAATATGATCAATTCCAAACATAACAATTGTAACTCAAAACTTATAGCTTGATATCCTAGTGTCAAGTCAATTTAAAGATATATTCACATCCAAATAAATTTACTAGATTCCCAACAGCCCAACCGTTAAAACTTATAGTACGTTTAATTTATAGATTTTAACAGAAAATTTTAAATTCTATAAGAGGGAAAAATACAGAAAAAAAAAAAATTTTAAACAAACCCATGAAACAAATACACACCCTATTTGTAAAACAAAACAAAACAAAGGATTTTGTTTGTACATTTTAGCGCTTCACATGTAGAGAAGCCAAAGTTCAAGAAACAAGACAATATTGTGGAAATAAATGCCTTGAAAGAGGCAACTCTTGTCAAAAATCACTCGTCGTATTGTGTATGGCTCAGAAACTCCGCAGCCATATTAATGGGTTTATAGACTATTATTAGTTTTTTTTTTTTTTTTTTTTTTTTTTTTTTTTTGTCTGACTGTTATTTGTTCCAGCCAGATAAGAAACTGATGGGCATAACGATAAGCCTAAGAACCAAAACCTTGAATGGCATAAAACTGAATGACAAAAGAAAGCAATAATAATATGCTCACAAAAGCCTCTCTCACTATTCAATCTGGGTGGTTTCAGTCTCTAGGGTCCACTTCTCTTTGTTGATCCCAAGAACACCTTTATAATCTCTGCCAGAGGAATCAAGACCAAGAAGAGATTCCTCAGAACACTGCCTTTTCGCCGCAGAGTAATTTTTTTTTTTTTTTAAAGAAGATCCCGTTTCAGAAATTTGAAGTCTGTCGTCATGTTGTGTAAATAATCTCAGAATATTCTAGGCTTAGTTACATTTTTTTTTCTGTTTCTACATGATAATGGATATAAAGAAAACCCATATCAAAAACCCGACTTAGATGACAGAGAAAAGCAGAACCGACATAACCACAAGCTTGATTATCTGAAGCAATTATTTGTCTAGAATATTAAATTATCAAGTTGGCAAGTTGGCATTCATTAAAAATTGCAAACAATTGAGAGTGACAATTTGATTTTAATGCTTAATTTGTACAGATGAGATTTTCATTTTTCTCCAAAAAATGCAACAAATATACACAGATAATTACAATAACCCCCAACCAAACCACATAAACTATGTCTAAGAGATCTAGGAAAACAAAAACATGATGAACATCAGCACCATAAAAATTCAAAACTCAAAAATCCCCAAAAGAAAAAAGTAAAAAGAAACATTTTTATATGGTTTTTTTTTGTATTTCTCAGATACTCGACGGATGAACCTAATTCTCTCTACCACGCTATAACGAAAAATCTCATAAGCCACCATACATAACCCTGAGCTGAGCTAACCGGAATATTCCAAAATATTCGCCGGGAAATTCCATTCCGGTAACCGGGAAATCGAAAGTTGAGACGTGTTACCGCGATCTGCGCTTACCCGTACCGGCAGTCTTCGTCCTGCGATTCTTATTGGTCGGTTTCCGGAAGGCGCTGCAGAAACCGCAGACGGAGACCTTGGGCGATGGCGGCTCAATCGCCGGCGAGACTCTCCCGGTGCGGTAGCCGCGTCCTCCGCCGTTGGATTGGCTCCTCTCGACGGTGTTGATCGGCCTCGGCGCCTTGACCTCCTTGAGCAACGTCTCCGGCTTTTGATCTTGCTGATCTCCCGATCCTTGCGGTGGCTGATCTTCCTTTTGCGGGACCTGATTTAGCTCACCCGACAAGAACCTGTCGTCCCACACCAGCCCTGACGAGCCTTGCCTCCTGAAGGACATGGCAGATCTTTGCAAACCAGCCATGGCGTCTCTTTCTCTCTCTTCTTTCTCTCTCTTTCTTTCTCTTTCTCTTTCTCTTTCTCTGGATCTTTCTATTATTATTGTTGTGTATAAAACTAAAATGGAATTGTTGTGGGTAAATTTGAGTATTATTATTGAGTTGTTGGTTATGTGACTTTTTGGTTTCTGTTTATATAGGGGCCGAGGATAAGAGGTACAAAGAATGGCTACGCACAAAGGTCAGAACATGGCTGCTCAGTCAACTTTTTATTATTTTATGTATTTGTTTTATGCTTTCTTACCGTTAAACAGGACATGGTAAGAGTCTAAGAAATCGTTATTTAATAAAAAAAAAAATGATAACAACGAGGGAAAATGAAGAAAATATTTTTTAAAGTGTATGTGTCTCAATTTTTATTTTTTATTTTTAATTAATATTTTTTAATTAAATAATTATATTAATTAAAAGTGTATTAATTAAGAGTAAGGAATAAAAAATTTAGATTCATATACTTTAAAAAGTAAGTTTAACTATTTTCTCTAAAAATAAGGATTGTTGGTATTCTTATTCTTAAATTTTGAGCATTATGGCAATTTAGTCTCTGAGATTTTTTATTTTGACAGACTACCATTTTCATCTTTTTTAGTAGTTTTGGTCTTTGATATTAAGATTAATAAATTTCTAAAACCCCTGACACTAAATTTCTTAATTTTTATCAAGTTTTAAGTTATCACATGATAGACTCATAATTAACACCGTCAAATTCTAAAAATTCTTTTTCAATTTTTGTGTCATGGATCAAAATTACCAAAAAGAAAAGTTTAAGAGGTAATTTGTTAAAAGTAAAAGTTTAAGAACCAAATTGTAATAATGCTCAGAGTTTAGAAACTAATGTACCAATAACTCTAGTGATAATAATAGAGTTATTAGCCTTGTTAGTTCTTAAACTACGAGAATCGTGACAATTTGATCCTAAAATTTTTAAGTTTAAGAGATTATCCTCTAAACTTTAGCTTATCCGGTAGCTTTAAATTCTTGGCACTGAAATTGATGAAGGATTTATAAAATATAATTTAGATAATCACATACTTATTGTATAAAAAGTGAAAATTTTACCTAAATAGTTAACTAAGCGCAAAATGTCATAATTTTTATGTTTTTAGCATAGTAAAAAAAAAAAAAAAAAGACACTTTGTATTTAATGTAAATATTTCCGTGAAGTTTCAAGTTATCGCTTTACGTGCATGATCAGCTCTATAAAATTTTCAAAATCCTTTTGTCAATTTTGTTGCCAACAACTAAAATTGTAAAAAACCAAAGTTTTGTAAATAATCCGTGAAAAATGCAATTCCAAGCACAAAAATATTACAATGCTCATAGTTTAAGAATTAATAGTGCTTCTGAATAATGTTAAGGACACCGACTCAAATTTCAATTTTTATATATCAAATAATGTGGTATGTAAGTTAACTTTTTTATTAGTAGATGTAAACTTTTATCATTAATTGACATGGTAATGTTTTAAACATTCACCAATATAAAAATGACAACTCATATATCACATCAGTTAGTGGATAAAAATTAAGATTTGAGTTGGTGTTCCTAATATTATTCTTCTCCAAAACACGTGGAAAACACTATTTCCATAAAATACACGGGCTGCTTTTGTATTTTGCTTTCTTGGAGAAATAAGATAAAACTTTGTTAATACGTTGCACGAAATTTGTTGTTTATAATTTCCAATGTCTGAATTTAATGTGTGTCATTGCTCATTGTTAAGTTTTTAATTTTTTTTATGCGATATTTGCTAAGTTTTAAATAGTGGCAAGGATTATAAATGTGCAGCTATTATAAACTGGGCCAGGCTATAGTCCCCCAGTTGGAAATGAATGGGCTGGTCTCCATTAAATCTCAGCCCTTCAATTTTTTACTTTTGTTTTTTTATTTCAACTCTTAATATCTGACGGTGGTGGTTGGATGAGGGTATGGAGACATTTAGAATGCGTTTAGAGCAAAGATTTTTAAAATAATTCATACCAGATTATAATTATTTATATCATAATTTAAATTATAATTTATGAATCATTACAATATTTTTTTTTATGAATACAAAAGTAATTTTAAATAATAATTTTAAATTCATAAATCAATGGGAAGTGCTACCGGTTGGTTAAGGGATAATAATTTTTTTATTTTGTTGTCAAGTGACAAGTACGAAATCAGTAGGCTTTTTGTGGTGGTTTTGGGAACGAACAAAATAATGGGAAGCCTTGAAACGTGAAGGCATTTCAGCGACAAAAGGATGGACGGCAGATCGGCGAACACCGGGCAGATGGCAGATCCAAACATTCTTTAGCGTTACCTGCCCATTTGCCCAGTTTCAAGTATCAAAGCGTTTTCCTGTTATAGGCTTGCTGACTCTCTTGCAAAATGGGCTTTACTGTGTAATTTCACTGGTTTTCTTTTCTCAGGGATGATAGGCCCTGTTGTGTCTACCATTTTGCTCGGTGAGTTTTCTCAATAAATTACAGTTTAATCAGCAAAATATATATATATATATTATCAAAGCGTTTGAAACTGCATCCGGTTCTTCAGTTCCTCCATTTTTCCATGTTCAGATTCAGTTTCACCACTCTCAATAACAGTATATTTCTGAGAATTGGAACCAAAGCTAGAATCTTTTCCCCCGGAATTCTCGATATATCTTCATGCTGAACTTGAATTTTATCTTCATCATTCCAATCAAAACCAATGGGATCTGAAACTCTAAGAGGTTTTTCTTCAAACACTCTCTGAGCAAAACATTACAGAACTTTATCCCCGGCTTAAACCAGAAAAACCTTATTTCTTGAAAATACCATTCGGCTTAGAAAGTCCTTCCAACACTTCCAAGAGCTTCAATCAAAACTAGGATGAAACCCCAATCCGTTGAATTGGGCGAGAAGCCATGGCCGACATTCCTCCCTGCCCTGCAGTCTACAGAGTTTGTGATAACTATTCAAAAACGACGTCGTATCCTTAAAGTACAATTTCATCAAACCGTTGCGACTCGCAACACAAATATTACGCTTCTCTTTGTCACTTTTACGAAGGAAGAAACCAATTTTTAATAATTGATAAAACAACTTTACTATTTTACCCTCTCAAAAAATTCAGAAAATAGGAAAAATATAAAATTACTCACTCATATTACGAAATTGTCCTCCACAAAGATTATTTAATACAATATTTGTTGTATTAGAAAACGTGAATAGGTAAAATACACTGGCAAAAACCGGTTCCTTGTGCATCCCATGAACCCCACGTGTTCAGTGATAATGGGGGAAATACACCCCACAAAAACAGCGCGGGCGTTCACAGAAAGAGCCTTATAAATTATGGTTAAGTTAAAACTTTAATAGCTTTTTTTTTATGTGGGTCGCAACGTAGGCGTGATTAAGTGATGTTTGTCCACCGTGGCTGAGCTGGCTTTGGTCATCCCCCAAAGCAAAGGTAGCCAACTTGTTTTGATTAATTTTGTCAATCGTTTTCTCGACATTATTAGTTAAATTAATGATCAATTAAGGAGTTTCTAAGCCAACTAATTAGGAAAAGGTTGTCGTCTAAAGAAGGAAAATTAGGCAAATGTTCAAGCCTTGAGTGATTAATTGGTGATGGTTTGCATTCACGTTTTTTGCCATTGCAGAGTACTCACGACTACTTGTCGGTTGCCTTCTTTGGGTGTCGTTCTGTGGTAAATAGTTTGTAATATTGTCTTTTTTTTTTTTTTTTTGCTGGATATATTTGGTTGATAATTTAGTATTAGTTACCCTAGTTATGACTTTTGAACATAATATCGGGCCGAGACTAAAAAACAAACAAAACCCGACAACAACAACAACAAAAAATGGAACTTTGGCGTCCCAAATAACGTTTTTAAAGTTCTAAAAATTAACAAGATAATTTTCAGAGTCACCTATAAAGAACTAGAATTTTATTGACCTCTCCTCTCATATGCTCACTGATGAGATACCGACAAAACAAAGTATTTTTTTGTTGTAGAAAAATATGAGTTGATAATAGAATATATTAGAAAGATAGATTTGGATTCTATAGGGACTATGTATAAATACGAAGCAATACTATTTCCCAAAGTTATAGACCCTTTTTTTTCACTTTTTATTATATAATTTTTGTTTTACTCCAAACAGGAAGAGTGGTAATAAGGACCCATTTTAAGTCGGTTTCATCTACTAGCGAAAAAACCAAAATTGGATCCATCACGTGCAAAAAAATTGCTTGCCCTTTTTCATGGCCTTATGGCTTATCGCATTCAAGAAAGTTCCAAGGTGAAAAATGCATTTATCATCTGTTTGATTTGCACTTGCCTGACGTCCACGAATTCTTTTCAAACCTTTCAAACCTTTTGATTTTTTTTTTTTTTTTTTTTGAGGAATTTGAAATTTTTTTTTTTCAATAATACATTATTGTTTATTTCCTTTCAAAGATGGCAACTCAATTAATATGATAAATGTCCCTATTACTCCTTACTTTACTCGTACAAGTCAAAATAATCCAGGATTTTCTTCGATTTTGAATAATCATTGGGGTCAGAAAAACAAGAAGCTTAACACCTGGCCCGCAACAGATAAAGAAGAATAATAATTGGGGGTATTGAATATTTGGTAAGCCACCGTGATCAACACCAAAGAAATTGTACCAATTCCAAGTCTAAAAACACTATCATGCTTTAATTTGTAAAAGGTCATTGTCACCATCATCACATCATCGGTATTATCATGTCCACAGTCCATATATAAGAGAAAAATATAATAAAAATTAATCCATTTAACAAAAAACAAAAAAATAAACCAAACCCAACATCTGGCGTGCCATGATTGATCAAATAATTAAAGAATAGCTTAATTTTTTTCGCTGATTTAAAAATAATTTTAAGAATTATTTAGTTGAGGGATTTGTACTCCGATTTAAATTATGGTTCGTGATTCGTTACAGTATTTTCTCTCATTAAAAATACACGTAAATTAAAAATAATTTTAATCTCATAATTTTAATCTATAAACCAAACGTCTTAATTTGTAAAAGGTCATTGTCACCATCATCACATCATCGGCATTATCATGTCCATATATAAGAGAAAAATATAATAAAAATTAATCCATTTAACAAAAAACAAAAAAATAAATCAAACCCAACATCTGGCGTGCCATGATTGATCAAATAATTAAAGAATAGCTTAATTTTTTTCGCTAATTTAAAAATAATTTTAAGAATTATTTAATTGAGGGATTTGTACTCTGATTTAAATTATGATTCGTGATTCGTTACAGTATTTTCTCTCATTAAAAATACACATAAATTAAAAATAATTTTAATCTCATAATTTTAATCTATAAACCAAACGTCTCCTTAATTATTAGGACCTTCAAATGACCAAGACAAAGCAATCGAGTACGTCACTGTGATATATGTGGCAATTAGATACTCAATCGAGTGATGTGTTGATTCTTAAGTATGTTTTTCGGTGGAGAATGGAGATGCAAATTTGGAAAGCACTTTCCCCTGAAAAATAATTTGGAAAGCATTTTCCCCATAGTGGGTATTACTCAATTACATGCACACACATCATTCTGCCCAGAAGATGTCTGGTTACTTTTCGTGGCATTATTTATTTGGTAAAGTGATTAAATAGAGGCAGCGGCTTGTCCTGTTCCAAATAAAAATATAATTTATACCATCTATTTAATTTTCAGTATCCAAAAGAGTGTCAAACTAATTATATTTTATCATATTATTAATGAATAAGCATGATAAATCAATTAAAAAATATTTTAAAATTTTTAAACGACAAAAAGTAATGATATGATTAATTAAACATTAATTTATTTAGAGAGCAACAATGAACTTTCAATTAATAATTAAAAAAAAAGAAATTGCAACGATAAATTCAAGGATGCCGCATTTTTCCAAATGGCAAAGCGACGTGTAGTTTTTGTGTTGAATACAATGTCGTTTTTCAACTACAAATGCATTGCCTGATTTAAAAAATTAGAACAACATGCCGTGATCGTACACCTATGTATAAAACGACGCACCACTATTTATACATACAGACATAAAGAACGACAGTGGACAAACCTCAACACCTGCCAAAAAAAATGTCTATTGATTACACTCTTTTTTTGGTCAAGATATGTTTATTAGAAAGACAATTTTTAAAAATACCCCTAAATGCTAAATTAATATGTTAATGTCAAATTGTTATTTGAATAAAACATTTACTCTCTAAATGTAATGCTATTTTATGGATTAAATTTAATAAACGTTATATTTTGTAGTAAATTTATCACTAAATATAACATATAAACAAAACTTGTCATTTTTTAAATCAGTGTAAATCTCGTATCTCGAACCATCAATTTAATAAAGTTTATATGACTTTAAGTGTTAATAATTTTAAATTTTAATTTGTCAAAATTAAATATTTGAGATGCATTATTATGCAATTAAAAAAAAAAAGTTGAGGGCGCTAGAGTGCAATTTTTACCCTTTTTTTCCCCCTCTCAAAACCCTAAATCCCGCCAAAACATTCAGATCCTGATGTCTCTTTCTAAGACCTCTAATTCTCACCGCCTGTTTCCTTTAACCAAACTCAAAAACTTCAATCAGAGCAACAACAAAAAAAAAGAAAAAAAGACGCTGTTTAACGATCTGGAGCTCTTGGGTTTTCAATTTCGGATCTTGGAAAACAACAAATCCAATTCCGCCTGTGCGTGCGCAATTGAGGTTAGTACTGGGCTCCTCTTCTTTATTTTCCGAATTAGTTTTCGTCGATCGATTCGCACGCTGAAATCTTTTGAGAAGTTGCAGGTAGAATTTCGGAGATGTACGGCAGAAAGGCTTGCCAACTGGTGAAAGAACTTGCAACTGGAGAGAAAGAGCAACTTACCCCGTTCAATGTATGATTACTTCTCAAATTGGGTTCTTTTTTTTTTTTTTGGTCCGATGATGGCGATTTTAGTAATGGGTTTTGTTTAACAATACTTGTTGTGTCGGGGATTCTTCGGAATTCTCACTGACGGTTCTAAGTCAGCGCCAATATTTGACAAGTTACAATTTTTGACCGTTCTCCTAATTTTTTGTTTAGAGATACAGCTTTAGATATTTGTTATTAGTATAGATTAGGGGAAGCAATATGGGGCTTAAAATAACGTTCTGGTCCAGAAATTGTGTGTATTACAAGAGTAAACAGTGAATATGACATAATGTTGCCTTGCTTTAAATATGTTCCGAGCAATGCGATTTGTTGGTCAATTTTGTAATTCAACCGTGTTTTACTGATTGTGCGCTATGAACATTTTTTTTCTTTGAGTTAGTAGTGTCTGAAAATTTTCTAATTGGGCTTTTGAATGAATTAGATTAATGAAATTGAGTTGAAATCGGATAATCAAAATTCAAACGGACTTCATTTTGCAACGATGGTTTATTACATAGAACAATTGGGTTTATTTCACCCATCAAATTGTGAGTTTGACTTGCTAGATGATAATTAACCAAGATTTTGCTATTACCTTATGAAGCTCCTAGTATTTTTCGAGGCCTTTCATGTCTTTTCTTTTTGTTGGTACGAAAGTCTAACTATCCAAATACTAAGTTTGAATTACTTGAACTCTATGCTTTTGACTTAAAAAACCATCGGTTATCCTTTAGCTCTGTTTTCTCAATTACATGTATGAATATTTTGCATTCATGATTGAAGACTCAATACTTGCTTGAAGTTGAATGGAAACTTATTGGAGTCTTCTTTCTCTCATATAATAGTGTCTCTAACTTCTTTATCACTTTGATACTGCAGAGTGACCAACTTGATCAAGTAATTGCAGAATGTAGTCAACATTATTCTGAGCTTCAAGCCTTGATAAGGTAATCCCCTTTTGTATGTTTGTGTTGCTTGAGGTGCTAGTAGTGTTCAAAGACAATCGTATAATATAAGAATCCCTTTATGTATTGGAGACCGTTATGTATTTCTTGGTCTAGTGTTATATAGTTGACTTGTAATGACTGGATTTTACAACAGGAATATGCAGGAAAAAGGATTGGATGTCCAAACAACTAAAAACGAAGACCACTTTGGGGCACTTGTCCACCACCTTTCTTTAGTTCGCAACAAACGGTGCCTAATGTCATATCTGTAAGTAACTTCTTATCTGTTCTTTATCTATATATGCATCAACCTACTTCTATCCAGTCAAATGAAGCTGTTTTCTATTAGCCAAATGCCGGCTATTCTTGCTCATGTTTTTATGATAATGCAGGTATAAACGAGCTGAAATTCTTCGAAATCTGATTTGGAAGGTGGGGACCATGCTTCCACAAGAAATTCAAGAGAAGTTGAGTCATTTCGAGGAAGAATATTTCAAGAAACATTCTGCATCTTTGAAATCATATATGTCAAGAATCGATCTCGACTTGGCTGTGGTAAGTTACAGTTTATGTGCTTTCCCAACACAGATTAAGGCTATAAATTTTGTCAAGTTTTTACTAGAATGCTTTTGCTTAGTAGATCTTCTGGTGTAACACTTTTTTTTTTTTGTTTTTTCCCTTCTCAAAGGGCGCCAAAAAAAAGAAATCTTAACAGCCATTGATGATTTCTTGTTTAACCAGGACATGGTGCCGCCAAAAGATCCTTACATTCAGGTGAGAGTCCTCGATGATATCGGTGAAGGAATAGTACTAAGTGATGATAAGACAGCCAATTTTACTTGTCATTCAATGCATTTTCTTAAAAGAACGGATGCTGAACAGTTCATCTCAAGGGTGAGTTCTGACTGACTTCATGATTTTATAGCATATAGTTTGGATTTATTGAATTTCTCATCTATTAGATACTGGCTCTTATCAACAGGGCTTGATGGAGGAGCTCACAGGTTGACACGAGTCTCGCTGCTAATTGTTCTCGTACCATTCCATCACGTTGAAATTTGGGGGTGATGAATAATTTATTCGTCATCTTCTTTTCTTGCTAAGCTGTTTCTTAAAGAGTGATAAAAAACAAAAAAATTATTGTATTTGATTTCGCCCTAGAAACAGCGTATAACATGAACAAGATGGGAAAATTTACTTTTTAACCAGTTGAGATGGTACTTTCTAAGGGCCCGTTTGGTATATAGGTTCAACTAAAATTCTTGATTATGACTCTTGAAATTCAAATTTTGTGAAGAAAAAACATTGTAGCAAAACCATGAGTTTGCACTGTAGCAGAACTCATATACCAAACATACACTAATTGATTTCACATTTAAACGAATTAAAATGCACATTATTGGTCTCAGGAACGCAGATATTCAAATGATTTTATATATATGCAGGTTATTGGCTAATATATAATGCTACATTGCCAAAACATGTACTGCAAAACTCTAATTGAATTCGCTTCTTGTAATTTAAAGAGGTAAATATCAATACAATGTGAGCTCTAACTAAGAAAGGGGTGTTACTACTTTCTATGTCTACCACCACCACCGCTACCACTACCCCCACTCTTTGAACCCTCGGATACACAAGCATCCAATGCTTCTAAAATCTGATAATCAAATTTATGCCCTTTCATGGCAGCCCTTACCTTCCTAATAACTTGCTGCTTCATCACCCTACGCTCCGCCACTGAAAGGTGCTTACATCTATCAATTCCCTTGAGAAATTCAACAAGATAACCACCATTTCCTCCATCAGACTTTTCCAACTTCACAAGTTTTTCAACCACTTGTGCAGCAAACATCCTTTCTAAACAGGCCTTCTTTCCCAGCTGAACAATATCCAAAAGGCATTGCCCATTCACTTCCCTCGTCTTTGTCGACTTGCTTTCCAGTGATTGAACCATTCTCTCTACAAGACCCATGTGAAGAATTCGGTTCAAGATAAGGACACCACCACTGCCAAATAGCATCTGGTGAAGTGCTGTGTAGGCAGCATCCTGTAACTCTGTACTACTGTTTTGCATCATCATAACTAGCTCGGGTATGATGTCATATTCCAGAAACTTCTTAGTGCAGGGTTCTCCACCAGAACAGGCCAACTTCATTAATAAAAAGACAGATTGAGATTTTGTCGAGCTTTCTTCATGGTGTCCCCGTTGCAGAAGTTCACCTAATCGCTTGATAAGTGGACTTTTCAGAATCCTGTTTCTAATACTCGATTCTCCTGCTTTTTCGATGATTGGTATAAGATCTTGCATTGCCTCCAACACTTGCTTGCTATCACCAGCAACCACCTTATGGATAAGATCCTCGAAAGAGTGATGCTTTGGTGAAAAAGGAACTCTTCTATCTGATAAAACAAAAGTCTCTAGACGAAGTCTAACTTGCCATGGCAAAAGATTTAGATTTGTCGGTTGAAGAGAACCATTGGCTTGAGGACCTCCCAACTCATAAAATGTCTTCAATATGACAATAGCATGGTGTTGAGCTACTTCAGATCCATTCTCCATAAGTTTAAGAAGACTTTTGTCAATTTCAAAGCCAAACATTCTCTGAACAGCTTTCGATTTTCCAGCCTTGGTCAAAGACATCAATATAGTAAACATACTCTCATGCCATTCCTCAGCATTTGGAGAAAGCAACTCAGTCATTCGATTAAATGGAATTCTTTGCAGTACTTCGTCAACTGTCTCTAGACTTCCAAATTCTGCAAGCTTTGCAAGAACAATTGAAATGTTGGTTTGAATCATGGGGTCTTCACAATCTTCTAAGATGCTTGCCAACTTGCTGACTGAACCTGTAGCTTCAACTGATGGAAAATAATTGCAGTAATCGCTCTTACTGAATATGTTCATGATGGCTTCTGCAGAGACTGCAATTAGACTCTCTGACCCAGTTAAAATAATGTTCGAAATCCTAGGACCCAGAATGCTACTAAAGCTTGCTCTGCTGGCTTCCAGTTCAGAAATAGATTTGCTAGCCATTAGAGCCTGGATAATGGCTTTTAAGGTGATAATCGCCTGCTTTTCCTCAGCACCAAGGAAGTGCACTATTCTCTGCTCAGAAACACTTTTTACATTCTCTTTCCCAAATATAAGAAGCCAAGGGCAGATATTTGCAGTTTCTTCCGGTTTGGATTCTTTTAGTAGCATCTCTATTGAATCATTTGTCTTGCTATCAAGGTAAAGAGCAACCATGTCGTGAACCAAGTACAATGGATCTGTTTCGGTTTTCATAAGCAAAGAACCTTCAACAAGCTTGCAAACTATAAGAGGGAACAAGCTTTCCTGCCCAAGAACTGACCAAATAGCCTCTACACATGATTCCGGCACAGGTTCTGCCCATGAAAGAGCAGCCAGAGCTATGAAGAGGTTTCTAGACTCTCCAGGCATCGCATCTAGACTGAATTTGAACGACCCAAAAATGGTCAACGTATTCTCAGCTTCTTTTTCATTTACATATGATACTGGGCCTGGTGCACAGGTGGCAAATGTAGATAAGTTGGTGATGGCTTTTTTCCATTTCTCGACTCTCTTTTCTTTCCTCAGAGCCTTACCCATAACAGCAACTGTCAGAGGGTGGTGGCCACAACGATCAAGTAATTTGTCTGCTACATCCTATGGAATAAAATGATAATAGTTTAATCAAACTATAGAGGAAAAGAAATCATAACAAAATTATTAGGCAAGCACAAATTGGGAACATGTCTGTCTGAGAACTAAATAATGTGCTAGTAATGTGCTTCAACTATACACCCCCTTAAACTTGGTTCATGACTACATGGATTCTGTAAGAGGGTTCGAAGGTGTATACGTGTATGTATATGCATGTGTATTGTCATAATTCTAATACAATAATTGGACACTCCCCTAAAGTAACACGTAATAGTTGCCTATGGAGATAATAAAGCTTTCATGAACTCGAGCAAAGTAGATATAAGATAAACTATAAACAGACATTTTTTTTTTTATAGAAAATATCTGTTCATGATGCATCCTTATAGCAGTAGAAGAAGATTCTATAAGGCTGTTTTAAAGTTGAAAAATTTAGCGAGATCTTGGATCATTACGAGAATTGGCAACTAAATCACCAGTGAGATGCTACACATGTACTTACATTCATACTCTATTAGAATATCAACATTATGACATGGTAGGTTGTTGTGTCATTTGCAATAATGATACCTGTGGAATTGTGGTGTTGACTAGAAAATTTACAGCGGTCATATTACAGCTTCACTAGTTTCCTTATTTAGAGGATTTGGGTAGTCTATTACCCCATTCTTTTCTCTTGTAATTTATTCCCTGATTTGATTGAAGATTTCTCCCCACAAATCAGGGATTATTTTCTGTTTTTTGTAAGATTTCTTGCCTAGGGTTCCTATATATATGTTCTTGCTCTTGTACTGATTGAGATAGGTTAATAAGAAAAAGTTTTCCCATCAAAAACTTCAATAATAAAACAAAATTTAGAACAAATATATATGCCATGGGACATACCGGTAATTCTTTTTCACTAAGGAGGCTATGGTAGAGAATAACTGCCTTGCTAATCTCTCTTATGTCATCTTTGCTTAGCTCTACCTTCTCTGCTTCTGTTATTTCATAGACAGCCTCATCTCTTGTTGTTACAACATACTTGCAATCATTGTCATATAATTTAGCAAACCGCTCAACTATATCCTGCTCCCACACATCATCAAGAACAACAAGAATACTCTTTCCATACAAGGCTTCTTGAAGTAAGCAACACATATAATCAAGATCTCCACTGTTTTCATCCTGAATTTTCTTCCAAAATCCAATCTGCACCAGAAACCTAGAAATTTTTCTTGCCAAGCGCCTTTGGTACTCAGCCTTACTTCCATTGCAAGCAGATCTACTGCACCATTGCCCAAATCCAAGTTCAACAGCTCCTCCCACAAATCTCTTGGGAGGATCAGAAGCCACTTGTCGAGCCAAGCATGATTTCCCAATACCAGATAGCCCAACGATTAAAATGACTCGACGAGAACCTTCTTGTTCAAGTAAATTCCTAACATAACTACATTTGCTAGAAACTGGATAGCCTTGTTCACTCTTGATTTTCAATTGAGCTGGGACGGCTTGAGCAGTTGATTCTATGGCCTTCTCAACATTGTGGGCCAGCCTCTGAGATTCTAGCCACCAATTCAAGTCATCCTTAATTGAGTTCACTAGTTTCCCAAGTGGGTCACCAACCATAGAACCCCATACTACTTTAGCCAAGTTCTTAGTCTTACTCTTTGTTAGCATTCTCTTAGCCTTGCCAATCTTCGGATGCAGCCGTTCTGTAAGTCCATTCAGACTTTGAATTTGGCGCTCCAGTTGAGAGTTATGGAGTTTGTGGACGTGTTTTTGCTTAATTCGGTGAGTCAAGCTTTCAAGCTCGCGCACAAACTCCTCTAAGCTCCGAACTCTCTTTGGGGCTTCATCAAGATTCCTTGATGCTTGTTCTAATGCAGCAACAGCACCTACCATACCCGACACTATTTGTGTGGCAGAAGCAATAGTCTGCAATGCATCCATTCGACTACTAGGATGATTATGCTACCAGGATCTATTTTCTTTGCTTTCCCAATCACATGAAAGTCCTCAGAGAAATCATCGAAGATTGACCCCGAAAATGTTGACTCTCGTGTCAACAACCCAAATGGAGATTCCTCAACTTTTTCTTCATTTCATAAGCAAATCAAAATGTTTCCCTGTTTGAGGTGTTTTAACTCCATAAGCCCTTCTTCCATCACACTGCAGAACAATTATTAAAATCAAGTTCTAAACTTCAAAATTTCCAGTCGTACAAACACATACATTAGAAGATTTTAAACCCATTAGGAACCCAACATCAAAAGATAAACACCCATCAAAAGGAATCTGATTTGTACTTCAAAAACCATCAGTATTCGTGAAAGCTAGCAAACCCACTTCTCATATAAGTGGATACAAATGTTGAAACTGCAAAACCATTCAAACAATCAAATGTCCACTTCCAACGCCGGCAAATGAGGTAGCAAAGAAGTTTGATGACCGAGAATAATTCAAAAACAATATAAAGATAGAATTTTGAGGACAAAATATTCGAAAGACGGTGGTATCACCTAAATTACCTGCAAGGTTTGGACCCCAGGTCAAAATCTGAGATCAACCGTGGGAAAGGAGAAGACAAGGAACCAACTTTTTGAGTAGCTTAAAACCAATAGAATGATCCAATGATATATACAATAGAAAAACGACAAAAAAAAGGGGAAAATGATATTGAATAGTCAATTGCAGTCTGCAGGGAGCTGAGAGCCTGAATGATATCGTCCCATGCGGGGAATGCAGTCACGGTCCTGGCCAATGAAGTTTTGCCTTGTCACGTGGGAAGAAGGAATGTATTCTAAAGTAGTTGGCACGGATAAGCTAGGACTTGTTCTTTTATAATAAGTTTGAACTCATATTATAAATTTTGTTAAGTTATTTGTTTGTAAAATTTATGTTTGAACTTGAATTTAAAGTTAAAATTTGAGTTTAAGTTTCTCCTTCAATTCAAGTTTTTAAACTCAAACTCAAATTAATGAACAATATTTTTTTATTATTAAAAACGTCATAACTTTTTTGTTTTAATTTCGATTGAGATGATTTTTTTTCTATGCGTTTACAACGAAAAGACGAATAAAATTTCACCTATATACCATATTAAAATTTTTCATCATCATTGAGTTTTTATTAAAATACTATATAAATATAAATTTAAGTTTTGAACCACTCAACACAAACTCAAATAGATTTTCAATTCAAATCATAACTCAAATATGCACATCTAAACACAAATTCAAGTTATAACTTTAACTCAAATTATAATTCAAATTCAACTTAAAACCTATACTCAAATCAAAATCATTATGATTCAAAAATGCAACTAACAAGCCCCTAGTTTCTTCTTAATTATAATGCGTTGGTGAGATAAGATAGGTCACCTTCCTGTTAGGCATTTCTATTCTACTTGAAAAAATCAACAAGTTTCCACCAACTCAAATAGCTTCATAGCTTATGCTGAGGTCAAAAAGGAGTTCTTTTCTTTCTTTCTCCCTTTGTTCAACGGGGTTATGAGTCTATGAGAGACTCATTTTTGGTATCGTCCAAAAACCACTTAAACAAGAACAAATATATATTCTTAGGCATCATTATACTTAGTTGGGGAAAAAGAAAAGAAAAGACAAATGAAGCGCCTTTTGAATAAAGGAGGTGGGTTTTGGGCTCTCACAACCTCTGTTCTTGCTTTTTTGTGTAATTACTTGTGTAATCTGTGATGTTCTGTTTTGGACACCCTTTTACAAGCCAATATCTGATCTCTACTATTAATAATCTCACTTGAATCATCTCAGCATAGAAACCTCACTTGAATCACATATCATTTCACTAGTGGTGAGTACAGAGACCAAGGGTTTAAAATTGGTTCTAAAATAATTTTATTTTCTGTATGAAAATAGAAATGAAAATATTTTCATTTTCATTTTAGAATTATTTCTGAAATGTGTTTGATAGTTTTATTTAAAGATTGATTTCAGTTTTAAAAAAAACTGAAACTGCGTTTGGTGGTTTAATTTTTGAAAACATGTAATAATATTTAAAATAATAATATATTAAATAAATAATATTATTAAACGGGAAGAAGAGTG